ACCAGGCAGATAACTCCCAAGTGAACAGACTTACAGAAACCCTGTCACAAGACAATACAAACACTGAGAACAACACAACCGAAATGGCTCTGCCCCCGGTGCTAGGTTTACAGAGGGGCTGAAGAATCCAACCGACTGAGAAAGGAACGACCAGAGTTTGGCCAAACTCAAACCAGCACTGCGGGCAGACAGTTAGCACAGAAGAAGGGATTTCCCTCCCAGGTTCTCCTTGCTCTCAGCAGCATTGCCCTGGTAGAGGGCTGACAACATCCCTACCTGCTGCAAAGTGTGCTGGTGGGAGGGAAGGAGCCTGCTCAGCTTCTCCCAGCTCCCCCCTGCCTGCTGCCTCATGGAGTCTAACCCCAAACTACCCCCCCCAACTCCAGAAACTTCTGGGGGTGGAGGCTAAATCTGCCCAGTAACACTCAACTCACTCCTACCTCCCTACATGGGTCTCTTAAAGACACAGCTCCCTAGTAGGTGGCTGGGTTACACATGTTCCAGTTTGTTTTTAATTTAAATTCCTTTTTAATTTGATTCCTGGCCAAGTTTGATCCTCCTAGCCTTACCAGCTGCCCCTGAAACTATCAGGAGGTGGGTTTGAAAGGGCCTGTGGGTTGTTTTGGGCTTTCTGATTCCTTCGGGGCGGTCAGGGTATTTCAAGGGTTTCTTTACAATGACAAAGGCTAGAAACTGATCTGAAAAGCAAAGGAAGCTGAAATTCCCACCTCAGCATCTGATTCCAGGACCAGAGAGGCTGAGAGAAACGAGAAGCAGGCAAATGCCGCAGCCAAATTTTAAGTGTTGGGGAGGCTCGAAAGCTGCACTGAAAGGACTGGGAAGGCAGAAATATCCAGCTCCACTTTGGAGGCCAATGGAGTGAGGTGACTTTATCAGTTGCGGGCTTTAAATGCAACGGGGGTGGCTCTCGCACAATGCACCTCCAAACAGCACCCTGGCGCCCCCACCCCCACCAGTGTCACGCAATCGTCGGGTGTTTTCTACCGAGCCCAGTCCCCCTCAGAGTTGTCATCTGATGAACATGAAAACCCTGTTGGATTATGCCTGTGCTCTCCTTGTGCGTGGAGTTGTGCAGTGTTGCCGAGTGTGTTCTTGAATAAGTTTTGATTCTGGGAAGTCTGACACCCAGCCACTCTCCCAGGGAGAGGCTTAACGACCTTGCGCCGAAAGGAAATGTCCACACTGCTTGTTTTTGCACAAAATCCTCTTGTGTAAAAATGGAGTGGAAGAGATTATGCACGTGACGTGCAGGAAAATGCAATGAGGAGTAACAGTTAATTCGGCTTCAGTAACAAAATAGAATCCCCCCAATTGCAATCATTCTTTTCACAACACCTGTCAGCAAGTAGGTGACAAAACAGAAACCAAACGAGATTCAGGAAATGCTCTTTGACACGTGGATTCCTCACTAGGTACATGAATTCAGAACAGCGAGTAACAATTCGTGTACACGACAGTGCAGAACTGCATTTCCCGCACTCCCGGGTGCAAGGCAAAGACGGGTCACTAGGCAAGGGGGCGGGTGAGGCAGGCATAAGAGGAAAACAGAGGGCTGGATCCCCTGGCTGTTTATCCCAGTGGGTCGCAACATGGCCAGATTCAGCAGGGAAACCCCCTCCCTGCAACCAGAGAGATTCCCCTGTGGACGGGTCCCAGGGGGCTCAGGATGAACTAAAACCTGCCCAAGGCTTGGGACCTGCAGGCAACAGAGGTGAGACGGAGGCTGAGTTGTGGTTTGTGTGGTCTGAAGCCCTGCGCGACGGTTTCCTTTGCACTACCTGCTCCAGTGGTGGGGTCTCTGCACAGAGGCCGGGCTCACGTCTCAGGCTCTGGTCTTTTGCCCCCGCCGGAAGGGAATCAGACGGGGCAAAGTCCCAGCTCCTGAGACCTCTTCTGGTGGAGTTGGCTGGACCTGCTGGTCTCAGCCCCAGCTCTCTGATGGCTGCCCTGCCCCCCAGCCCTGGATGTGGGCTGTCGAACACTGACACCTTCTTAGGGCTGGGGGGTTGCGTGGGAAACTTGTGATTCACATGACAACTGCATGTAGCAATGGCCGCTGGAGGCCTTCCACGCTTTGTGGATGTGATTGGACCCAACTACGTCCTGTGGGCTCCACCCACCGTTCACCCTCCCAGATACACCCACACACACGGCTTCCTGCTGCCGGCTCAGTCCGGGTGAGCTGCAGGAGTCGTGAGGGGGACCTGGGACGGGGCTCGACTCGGAGACGCTGCATCTCCCCGAGACACGGGTAAGGAAATGAGGGAAACCTCCTAGCTGCCCCATAGGGTGTCATTCTGCTCTCTCCACCCTGGCTCTCCCCCTTCCTCCTGCCGCTTCCACCTCCCTCCTCCTGCTGGGTAGTGCTGTCTGACGTTAGTTGTGTGTGTCCTGTGGTGAGAGGTCATGAGCCCCCACCCCACTGGGTGTTGAGCGACACTGTCCGAGCTCATGTGTTCCATCACAAGCGATGCTGCACAGGGAAATATTTGGAGGGGAAACTGAGGCCCAAGGCTGTGATATGACTCAACCAAGCTCTCTGAATGGTTCAGTGGCAGAGTCTGGGATGGATCCAGGAGTCCTGACTCCCCGTCCAGCCGCTCAAATTGACTCTGGCAACAGCCTTTCGTTAGACAAAAGGAGTTAGTGGCCTCCCCTTTCTCTCGTGCACTGCCTGGCGTGAGGGGAGGAGGGGAGGGTTCTTTGTCACTGTTGTTAAAAACTGGGAAATCCCTTTCAAAAAAATGTTTAAAGGGCAGAAGGAGAGGGAGGATTGGTCACTGCTTAAATTCTTCACAAATAAGGGAGAGTTGCCAGCCCCTTTGGAAACCACCAGCAAAAAGTGTATTTGGGACTTTTAGGCCATGTCTACACAATGGAGTTGGAACCTGTTGCTGTTAATCTGCCGTGGTTCAATTCAGCCGCTCTAATGATGCCCCTGAGAGGGGCGTGCCGGTCAAGCCCAGGAACCCCGCTCCTACGCGGAGTAAGAGAAGTGGAAGGGAGCTGAAAGCTGAGTAAAGATGAACGGAGCTGAAGCTGCTGAACGTGGCTGAATTCAACCTTCTCCCGTAGTGTGGGCCAGGGGGAAGCGAGACTCAGCGGGAGAAACATCTCCAGGGCTCTGTCTCTGCATCTGAGCAACTCGCCCCTCCTGCCTCCCTACCCGGCTTCGAAACACAAATGATCACCAAGAAGCTAAAGTGATTCATTGAAATTGGGCTCGGTCACCTCCTTCCCCCACCCCCCAATGTAAAACCAAACCCCACTGGGGCTGGGTCCAGAGAAAACAAAACCCAGCATATCTACACCAACATCACTGAGTCGACCCTTTCGGTCCCCTGCTCTCCCTGCGGTTCTCTGCCTCAAAGGGCTTTGTACCACTGGGGCCATCAGCCCGCAAGGATTCGATCCCACCTCAGCTCAGCCCAGGGACCGGGAGTTTATAAACGCCGCCTCTGTCTGTCTCTGTCCCTGTCTTGCAGCCCTTTTCACTGCTCTCCCTTCTTCCCCTCAGCCCAGCATCTGCCCCGCCCCCGCCCAGCCCGCAGAGTCTGGGATGGATCCAGGAGTCCTGACTCCCCGTCCAGCCGCTCAAATTGACTCTGGCAACAGCCTTTCGTTAGACAAAAGGAGTTAGTGGCCTCCCCTTTCTCTCGTGCACTGCCTGGCGTGAGGGGAGGAGGGGAGGGTTCTTTGTCACTGTTGTTAAAAACTGGGAAATCCCTTTCAAAAAAATGTTTAAAGGGCAGAAGGAGAGGGAGGATTGGTCACTGCTTAAATTCTTCACAAATAAGGGAGAGTTGCCAGCCCCTTTGGAAACCACCAGCAAAAAGTGTATTTGGGACTTTTAGGCCATGTCTACACAATGGAGTTGGAACCTGTTGCTGTTAATCTGCCGTGGTTCAATTCAGCCGCTCTAATGAAGCCCCTGAGAGGGGCGTGCCGGTCAAGCCCAGGAACCCCGCTCCTACGCGGAGTAAGAGAAGTGGAAGGGAGCTGAAAGCCGAGTAAAGATGAACGGAGCTGAAGCTGCTGAACGTGGCTGAATTCAACCTTCTCCCGTAGTGTGGGCCAGGGGGAAGCGAGACTCAGCGGGAGAAACATCTCCAGGGCTCTGTCTCTGCATCTGAGCAACTCGCCCCTCCTGCCTCCCTACCCGGCTTCGAAACACAAATGATCACCAAGAAGCTAAAGTGATTCATTGAAATTGGGCTCGGTCACCTCCTTCCCCCACCCCCCAATGTAAAACCAAACCCCACTGGGGCTGGGTCCAGAGAAAACAAAACCCAGCATATCTACACCAACATCACTGAGTCGACCCTTTCGGTCCCCTGCTCTCCCTGCGGTTCTCTGCCTCAAAGGGCTTTGTACCACTGGGGCCATCAGCCCGCAAGGATTCGATCCCACCTCAGCTCAGCCCAGGGACCGGGAGTTTATAAACGCCGCCTCTGTCTGTCTCTGTCCCTGTCTTGCAGCCCTTTTCACTGCTCTCCCTTCTTCCCCTCAGCCCAGCATCTGCCCCGCCCCCGCCCAGCCCGCGTCTGCCTCGTCCCCGCCCTGAGGAGAAGAGATTAATACTGTGAGTACAGTGCCTCTGAGAATGGAGTTCCTCTATATCTTCTTGCTGGTGCTGTGTGGCTTGGCCTTTCTTGCTGGGGCGCCATTGAACAGCTACGTCCTCTTCGTCACCGGCTGCCGTGTGGAGAGGACGGCCAGCGCAGTGTGGCTCCTGAACCAGGCCGTGTCCGATTTAATATTCACAGTGTGCCTGCCCCTCAGACTCACCTTCTTCCTGCATGTGGACTGGGCCAGAAGGCTGATCAGCACCATCACCTCCCTGCACATGTTCTCTAGCGCCTTTCTCCTCATGGCCATCAGCGTCCATCGCTGCGTCCTCGCGGCACAGCCTGAGTGGGCCCAGAAATGCCGCACGCCCTGCCTGGCCTGCTGGGTGGCTCTAGGCACTTGGGCCCTGTCTGCTGGGTTCAGCTTGCGGTACGGTGACCTCTGGGAATCCCTTGTCACACCTGCCAACACCAGCATGAATTTCCAAGTGGAACTAGAGAGGGCCAAGGCCTCAGTCGCCATCCAGTTCCTGGTCGGCTTTCTGGTCCCATTAGTCTTGAGCCTGATCCCAACCTTCTGCATCGTTCTCGCTGCCAGGCTGGGAAGGAACCGGCTGATTCAGGCCACCCAGCCCCTCAAGATCCTTCTTGGCTTCATTCCAACCTTTTTCCTCTGCTGGCTTCCCTATCACGTCTTCTATTTCCTGCAGCTCTCAGCTATGCGCTCATGGCCTCTTCTGGAAATAGAGAGCTCATTTGCTTGTATCCTGTCATATGTCAACAGCTGCCTCAACCCCATCTTCTACCTCACCATGGAGGAAGAGTTTCTGAGATACCAGCAACGTGCTCACCACCCCCACACCACCAACCACTCAGGGCTGGAACTGGGCAACTAGCCCCATCCTCCCGCCCTTCTCTATGAAATAAGGGATAAGGAATCTTTCGGAAAAGGCTTTATTTTCCGCAAGATCAGCGTCTAGACTGGTGCTTTTTTCCGACAAAGCTCTGCTTCATTAGCAATTGCGATACGTCTAATTACAAAAAGGGATGTAGTGTAGACGTAGCCTACCTGTAAAGTGAGCTCATTAAGAAGACTGGACATACACTCCTTGGGAGTGGAGCAGCAAGTGCCTGCCCTTGGAAGAACTCTCTCTGAAGCAGCATTAAGAAAGGTGAGGTGATGACTAATTGGCTGGATGAGAGGGCTGAACATGAGGTATTTTTCAGAGGGACCCCAGGGGTTTCATCTTGTTAACATGGGAGCATCGATCCAGATCGGCAGAAGCCCAGCTCCACTCCCTCCCCATCTAACTCACCTGGACAGTGCAGTGAGGGGGAGCAACTATTGGTAACAACAAGATGGAGTGTGCTTGTGTGTGTGAGAGAGTGCATGAGTGTGATGCATCATATGCACATGATAAGTATTGATTGATCTATGTATGTTCAATAAATGTGACGTGTTGCCTTATCCCCCTGATAAAGATCCTGGGTGCTTCTTTTAAGCACAACATTTCCACAAATGGTTCATGGTGATGCCATGGACTACGAATGTTCCATGACTGGGCTCGTGGCCGTTAATCCCAGTGGATCCCAGCCCCTGGCACACCAGGGCTACATGCAGCGAGGAAACCCCCTCCCTGCCCTGGGGTGGAATTCACTTGGACAGGGGGTAATTTTTTTGGCATGGTAAATGTATTCACAAGATGGCCTGAAACACACGGCCATGCCTCACAGCCCTGGGGTGAGGCCTGAGGCCTAGCTGAAAGCAGTCTCAATTTTGCTGCTACAAAGCAAACGTGAGCTTGAAGCAAGAGGCAGGCCCAGCTCACCCAATACAGCAGGAGCTGGGCTGATATTTCAGAAACTCCCACACCTCAGAGGTACCAGGCACAGGCTGAAAACATCGTCCAGAGGGGTGGCACCAGAACACCCTTGTTCAGAAACATCTTGGGACAAACACACTCCCCACAGATAAGATGGACACCCTGAGCCTGGCTCAGGACAGGGACAGCAGGATGGATAGAGATGTTCTGGTCCAACCGCCACGTACAATATATCTAACATCAGCACCCGGACACGTCAGCAGTGAGATGTAACTTGTTTGTATCTGGGTGCAACCATGGATCTCAGAGGAGGGGGGAGGGCAGAGGGAAACCACACCGCTGCCTTGGATGAGTCCATTGTCGGGGCACTTGGGCACTAGCAGAACTGCAGACATCTGTGTCATGTTACTGGATTTTGAGGGGAGCAGCCAGATCGCTGCTTCACCCATAGATGGGGGTGTTGGCCCCAGAAAATGGTATAAAAGGGGGGCCCTGCGGGGTGTTGAATAGAAGCTCACTGTCTGCTAATCCTATGTACGCTGTTCATGTGTGTGTATAATGTCTGTGTGTGCAATTATAAGCATGTACTTGTATGGATACTGAATATTTCCCTGCATGTGGTTGAGCATTGGGCAGGGGGTATTTTTCAGAGGGACCCCAGGGGTTTCATCTTGTTAACATGGGAGCATCGATCCAGATCGGCAGAAGCCCAGCTCCACTCCCTCCCCATCTAACTCACCTGGACAGTGCAGTGAGGGGGAGCAACTATTGGTAACAACAAGATGGAGTGTGCTTGTGTGTGTGAGAGAGTGCATGAGTGTGATGCATCATATGCACATGATAAGTATTGATTGATCTATGTATGTTCAATAAATGTGACGTGTTGCCTTATCCCCCTGATAAAGATCCTGGGTGCTTCTTTTAAGCACAACATTTCCACAAATGGTTCATGGTGATGCCATGGACTACGAATGTTCCATGACTGGGCTCGTGGCCGTTAATCCCAGTGGATCCCAGCCCCTGGCACACCAGGGCTACATGCAGCGAGGAAACCCCCTCCCTGCCCTGGGGTGGAATTCACTTGGACAGGGGGTAATTTTTTTGGCATGGTAAATTTATTCACAAGATGGCCTGAAACACACGGCCATGCCTCACAGCCCTGGGGTGAGGCCTGAGGCCTAGCTGAAAGCAGTCTCAATTTTGCTGCTACAAAGCAAACGTGAGCTTGAAGCAAGAGGCAGGCCCAGCTCACCCAATACAGCAGGAGCTGGGCTGATATTTCAGAAACTCCCACACCTCAGAGGTACCAGGCACAGGCTGAAAACATCGTCCAGAGGGGTGGCACCAGAACACCCTTGTTCAGAAACATCTTGGGACAAACACACTCCCCACAGATAAGATGGACACCCTGAGCCTGGCTCAGGACAGGGACAGCAGGATGGATAGAGATGTTCTGGTCCAACCGCCACGTACAATATATCTAACATCAGCACCCGGACACGTCAGCAGTGAGATGTAACTTGTTTGTATCTGGGTGCAACCATGGATCTCAGAGGAGGGGGGGGGCAGAGGGAAACCACACCGCTGCCTTGGATGAGTCCATTGTCGGGGCACTTGGGCACTAGCAGAACTGCAGACATCTGTGTCATGTTACTGGATTTTGAGGGGAGCAGCCAGATCGCTGCTTCACCCATAGATGGGGGTGTTGGCCCCAGAAAATGGTATAAAAGGGGGGCCCTGCGGGGTGTTGAATAGAAGCTCACTGTCTGCTAATCCTATGTACGCTGTTCATGTGTGTGTATAATGTCTGTGTGTGCAATTATAAGCATGTACTTGTATGGATACTGAATATTTCCCTGCATGTGGTTGAGCATTGGGCAGGG